CAGGGACTGACTCATTTAATCCTCTCAGCAACCTTATGAATAGGTGTTATGCTATGCCTGTTTTACAAAAAAGGAGATTGAGGCTCAGAGATTTTAAATAACTTTCCATAATCATACAACTTGTAGATGTTAAACTGAGTAAAAACACAAGAAACTGTTCAAGGCACACACAAAAAAAATGTGTGTTTACTGGAAGAACTATGAGGGATGCTACCATCATCATAATCATCACCTAAATAGCACAGTTTTATTTACATGGGAAATTAGAGTATTACCAGAAGTTATATAAAGAAAATAATGGTGATCCATTATCAAATGAGTTGGGAATGTAAACATTTTTTTTCCTAACAAATGTTTTCCCAACGCATTTGACCACCCATCTCACCTCCACAGCTTTCCACATACAACTGCATTCCAGGAAATGCTATGCTATATCCTAAGGCTATCTCCCAGGCCAGAGCCCCATGGACTACTCCAATATATTTCCTTCAAGAATTCTTTCCTGTCTCCCTCATCCCCAGAATAAATTTCTTTTCTAAAATTTTGAAATTTCTGATATACAGTGGTAGTTAGTTGATATTTATGATATAAGCTCTAATGAGGGAATTTTTTTAAACTAATATATATACACACACACACACACACGTATGTCTATATGTATACAGATCAGAACACACACACACACACACACATACACACCAGAATTTACACATTCAAATGAGCTCTCTTTTAAGTGGCCACCATGGGGAGCTATGCATCACCCAAATAATTTTTTAAATTCCTTTTGGGAATTGGTTTTAAAGAACTACATCTAAAGGGATGCCTGAGTGGCTCAGTCAGTTAAGCATCTGCCTTCGGCCCAGGTATCCACATGATAGTCTCATCCTTTCAGAATTGAAGAATTTCTAGAAAGAATCAAAACTTTTTGGAACAAACTGAAATTGAGACTATCAAGTAATGAAATTGATTTTCTTGCAAGGCTTAGAAATTGGTTCTGAGAACAATTACAAAAGTAGATTAGAACATATATGTTAGAATATGATGGTATTGCTTAAATAGTCACAAAGGCTGATTGACATTCCTGCTCTGGGGAAGCAAATGCAACTTGTTACATTATGTGAGGGGTTATATATTTAAATGCCTTCAAACAAATTAAATATATGAAATCCTTGGGTATATAAGACAATAAGGTAATAAAGGAAATAATGAAAATAAGAAAGTGAGTGTCCCACCTTGCAGAATAAAAATAAAAAATAAAAAAGGTCACTGCAAAAAAAACCCCCCCAAAACAAAAGAAAACCTCCTGTTATTGAAGTAAAGGATAAGTAAAGGAAGTTATCTTCTGTTTGAGTCTTTTTTTTTTAATCTCTCGAGGTGTCCTTTCAGTTATATCTGCTAAACCCTAGGGCTTCCCAGGCATAATAATAGAAAAGTGACTAGGTTTCACTGCAAGCAGACCTGGTTTTGAATCAGATAGACCATGTACAGATAAGTTACCCAATCTCTCCAAGTCTCAATTTTCTCATCTAGACAGTTATTAAACTGAGAAGATTAAATGTGACAATGCAAAGATGCCCTTAGCCTATGCCTGGGATAGCCTCAAGTAAACGGTGATAATTTATTTGATAATTAGAATTTAAACACCATAATGTTTAAACATGTGAAAACATGCTTTGCCTTGATTTCTATCTTGGCATAGAATTTTTAGTATTCCTTCTACCAGCTCTTTAATCAATATTTACTAACCATATCCTAAGCACAGACCACTGTGCCAGAGACTAGGGATACAAAGGTGAAATGAATAAGTTGTGTTCTCAAAAGCTTATGATTGGAGAAATGAAACTCATACCAGGTTATAATACCAGTGAGAGGAAATAGTCCACGAAAGATATACATGAAGAGCTGTAGAACCTTAGGGAGAAAGAGACAGATTCTGACAGATAGGAAAGACTTTAGTGCTACAGGATGATGAAAGAAGAATTGGAAGGTCTCAAGTAGAAATGTATGGAAAGAGAGGCTGTAAATAATTAGAACATTAATAAGCCAAAGAATGGAGACCCAACAGTATAGAGTATTTTCAGGGAAGTACAATTAGTTCTGTTGATTTATGGTTTCAAGTGCTTAAAATAAGTCACACTGAGAATGTAAACTCCAGACAGATTGGTGAGGCCTGAAATGCTGAGTGAACAAAAATGGACTTTTATGTAATAAGCAATGGTAAGCCACTGCAAGTTTTTGAACATGGGATTGGTATGATAAGTGCCATATTTTAGGAAGCCTAATCTGGAACTATCCAATAGTGTGTGTTGAAGAGGAAAAGATTAGAAGCAAAAAGACCACCAGGAAAGATGTTGAAGTAACCCACAGGAAAAGGGAGGTACACTACTGTCAATAGAAAGAAGGGCACAGGGGCATCTGGGTGGCTCAGTCGGTTGAGTGCCTGCCTTCGGCTCAGGTCATGATCCCAGGGTCCTGGGATCAAGTCCCGCATCGGGCTCCCTGATCAGTGGGGAGTCTGCTTCTCCCTCTCCCTCTGCCCCTCCTCATGTGTTCTCTCTTTTGCTCACTGTCTCTCAAATAAATAAATAAAATCTTTAAAAATAAAGAAAGAAAGAAGGGCATAATGGTGATTGAAAGCTGGGATGGTGAAGGACTTTTTGGAAGTTGTGTTTCTTTATCAAGCACAAGACTATAACTTAGATTTTATGCTTTGGGGGTGGTTTGGGGTATGCTTTTGGAGATAACCAAAGTTGGCAGCTTTGGATCTTCACCTGAAGGAGTTGTAAGAGGAACCTGTCCAGGAAAGTGGCAACAAAGATACAAAGACAAGAATGAGTATGTGCGAAAGACTTGACAATAAGGAAGTCCAGTCTTCAAATCACAAATTCATCTGTGTTCTGTCTTTGCCATCTTTCTTTAGCATTTACTACTTGGTAATGTCCATAGCTTCTGTATTAACTTACCTGATCCCTGGTATGTCTATTAAAGAAAAATTTTCTTCATATCATTTCTCTTCCATGACATTAAGGATGAGTGGATGCAGCTCAGCTAGCAAAGATAAAAAATTATTCTTTGCTTTTTACAGGGCTGTTGGTCATTCTCGGGATAAGAGAGTAAGTCATTTGGGGTCAGTGGCTGGCTATTAGGTTGACACTAACCTCCTTCAAGCCAGACAGTTATGAATAATAAAAAGAGGGTCCTTAAAGAAGAGCAAAAAGCCAGACTGACTCACTAAGCATCCAGTAGTCTTCTGTACCATACAAAGGAGTAGGACATTGTGCAATTAATGCAATATTTTCACATGGTGAATTGGCTCCTAAGTGTTGGGCTAAACATTGTATAATGAAATTTTATCCAAGTCACTGGAGTCCCATAGAGCAAATATGTGAAATGATTGAAAGGTGACTCCCCTACTTTGAGAATGACTGAAAGGTGATTCTTCTATAGCACTTTATAATTCTATATGAACTTTCAGTGGAAATATTTAAACTTACACTGAACTAGAGTGAATAGTAATGAACACTATGTACCTTTCACCTGCTTCAGTGATTATCAATATTTTGCCAATTGTTGCTAAGTTTTTTATTATCCCTAGTGCTTTTTTATTGGAATATTTTAAATCAAATATCAAACATGCTGTTTGTAAATAATTCAGTATGCATTTCTAACTTTTAAAAATGATTTCTGACACAATGAACACACTCCTTTCATACCACATATCCTTAATATCATCCATTACCCATTCTATCTACACATTTCTCCAATTATATCAAAGATGTTCCTTTACAGTTAGTTTGTTCAAATCAATATTCAAACAAGATTCACACATCACTTTTGGATATTACGTCCATAACAGTCCTCCCTTCACTTATTCTTGATGTTTATTTATTGGACAAACAAATTTCATTTCATAATTTATAGCCAGGCTGCCACATTATTTTCTACTTCTAAAGCAAAACCGTAATTCATTCAACATCTATTCAACTACTGTATAATGAACAATTACCATGTACAGGACAGTACACTGGTGCTGAGTATGACTCAAAGATGTCTGTAAATCATGGTCCCTAATGCTAGGACTTTACAACCTGAAGGAAAATCAAAAAATAATAATGCACAAATATAATGACAACAACATGTCAGTAAAAGTCAATTGAGTTGTATAAGATGCTATGTTGTAAAGGAAAGGCATGATTTAGAAGATAAAGGCGTTCTTTTTAGGGAAGCTGGAGTGTGACATGGATGGTTTAGAATGGCCAGCAGTTCAGAGGCGTAAGAGAACCAAAAAGAGAAACTGCATCCTATGATTTAAAAACTTGAGGGAAAAAAAAAGAACAAACTTTAGAGGTAAAGGAAGCAAGAGATACATTCAAGAGATTATAAATGAAATGATTCAGCTAAAGCAGGACATTTGTGAAAGAAACACAGGTAAGTAGGGGGCAGATTTGGGAAGACCTTGAATAGCAGGCATATTGCTTGAACATGTTCTTTACAGCAGGTAACCATCACCTCCATTCATTTTTTCACATATCAGAGACTGTTCGACATGATGTAAACATAGATATTCCATTAGTAAGCAAAATGCATCAGCTCATTTCATAAGGAAGCTTAAAAAAACTGCTTATGTATTCCAATACCAATCATTTTCAAATATTTTTAGTAAGTTGGCAAGATAATTTAATGTTTTATTTTGCCCAACAGCTAGATGCTCCACTTAGAGGAATACAAACAAATTGAAGCCAATTTAACCAACACATACTACCCAGCAGCTGAGAAACCTTCATGAAGCAAGGATTAATTGTTTGTGGCATAGCATACAACAATAACAACAATAACTCAACAAATCTACCATAGGAGAAATAAAGATAACTATTAAGGATAGGTATACTAGCCCTGAAAACCTCAGCCTCATTTTTCGTCTACGATGAAAATAAAGTGAAGTTTGTAATATGTCTCTTATCAACAACAAATACATACTGACCCACATGTTCTCTCTTTACTAGCATAATGCCAACTGATTTTCATCACTAAGAGATCCTCAAATGATAGATGAATTTTCAAAGACTTCAAAGAAAGTATATATTGAATTTAATGTAGTTTGATTGGTAAGTATTTTCTTCTTGCATGCTTCTTCCAGGTATCCATTTTACATAGATTTTAAAATATTTTTGAGTGCCTGTATATACCAGAGTTTGTGCTAGACCTTTGAGGAAATAAAATTCTGCATAAGGTGTGGTCCTGCTATCTAGAGGCTTATGTCCTAATATAGATGACTAAAGATATACATATTGAAGTAAAATTATAGGCAGGATTGAGACAGAAGTATCAAATTGGATTAAATTAGGGTTTTTCCCACAGCAGCACTATGGAAATTTTGAATCAGATCATTCTTAGTGGTGGGGAGCTGTCTTGCATATTGTGCGATGTTTAGCAGCATCCCTGACTTCGAACCAGGAGATGCCAATAGCACCTTCCCACTAGTGACAACCAAAAATATCTCCAGATATTGCCCATATCTGAAGACTGAGTGAAAAATCACCTGTAGTTTTAAACCACTGTATTAGATGGAAAGTGCTACACACATTTTGTGAATGAAGAGAATTTGTGGTTGGGGAAATCAAGGAAAGTCCATAGAGGGTAGGAGGGCTGGTAGAAGTAGGCTGAGAAGAGGAGAGCATTTCAGGAGAGGAGAAGATAGTGAGAAAGTGGCCAAACTGGAGATGGGAAGCCAAGTGCATAAGCATAAATGATGTTCCAGAGTCATGTGTAGCATTCAGTGTTCAGGAGGTGGTTAATAGAGAAAAACTCAGCAAGTAAAAAACAATCCTATCATGGAGGTCCTTGAATGTATAAAATAAATTGTTTTTCATTTTGAAGGGATGCCACTGGAAAACATAAGTGAAATGAATAAAGCATCATTTGGAAATGTTAAAAAGGCAGTTCTGGGCAGAATGATTTGGGCAAATGAGAAAGTCCATTTTAGGTGTGGGATTCAGTTAAGGACATAATTTGGCAGAAATTGGAGAATGTATTTGTGGGAGATGTATTTCCCAACACAGGATGAGAGAGGAAAAACAAGTGAAGAAGTAAATTCAGTAGCTTGCTCCTACATTTGATCTCATAAATTGTTGTTGAAATTGTTTTCTCATAATAAGAGTTGACACTTCATGACAGAGCTGATTGGCAGATGTGCCCAGATTCTCTGGGATTCCATGAAGTGGAAAGTTGTAACTGATGTTGCAAAGTTATAAAGACAAAGATGATATTATTCTCAAAAATAACTCCCTAGTGACATAGAAACTATGAATCCAGGCATTTAAATAATCTTGCTGATAAAAAGTATTCAATTAAAATTCCAAGGCCTGGCACAGAAATTTGTCTGCTAAAATTAATATTTATCCACATTGAGGTCCGCACCACACAACCAGACTTTTGAAAGTCTCCTCATTTCTCTCATGCCTTTAGAGAGTTTTGACCTAAGTTTATCTTCATGAAACATGAAATATGAGGACAAGATTTATGAAGACAGGACATAATTCAATTCCATATGATATGCGACTGTAATACTTGAACTTCAGAAAACCCCATCTAAAAGGTTAAAATATATCCTTAGTAAACTTACTCTTGATTAGTAACTAAACTGTTCATTTGCTCTAAAAATAGTTACTACCCCTTTGAATATCAAAACATCTCATGTACAGACAATATGGTATTATAAATAGGGAGACAAGGAAGCAACAAAGAAAAAGGCCCAGAAAATCATCACTTCCCCTTCACCCCCACAGCTCCTTCCATCCTTGCCCAAGTCACCTATGACTTAGATCCAAGAAAGGGGCATTTTCTGAAATCACAGAGACTTCTAGTCTTTGCCAACAGGCTAGTATTTTTATTTTAGAAATTCTCAAACTTACATATTTGAGATTATGACACCAGAAAATTAAAATGCACTCTTTTGAAGAATATGGATGCACTGAGGTCATAAGAGATTAACTGAATAGGAAGAAATGAAGATCTTGGGAAATCAGTGGGGAAAAAAATTAATCTCAGGCACAAGAGTTTTGAATAAGCAAACTCTAGGTTCATAAGTAGGGAATTAAATATTGGTGGAAATTCAAGAGAGGGTTTTTCTTCCTGGCAGTTAGATATAAAATAGGTAATAATTGGAAGAAACTTGAATAAGTGAGACAAGTTAAGAGACTGATGCAATAATCCAGATGTTGTTCATTTATCAAAAGCAATTTATAAGGATCCTCAGTATTAATGGCACTTTATTAGATACCAATTAATGCTTACTTGAACTAGGGCAGTGACTACAGAAATGGAAATGATCCTACTGAATATTAATAAAATGATTAAACCAGCTCAGTGCCCATTTTTTCTTGAGGCCTTTATTCCTGAGACTTTACATATTTGAAATGCATCCACAGTTTTGGGATTATTTCCTAAAATAAACTGCATTAAGAATCATGGGGAGAATTTTACTAATAGTTGCCTATCAACTGCTTGTCAGTCTGTACCAAGATGACATATTTCCCTGAGTGAAACAGGACCACGTTGTGAAGATGAAGGGGAGGAAAGAATGGTGGGGAGCAGTGCTACTCCCTCTAGGTTTTATCGAAGGCTCTATTTCTGTCAGTCACCAGAGAACTGAAATCCATCCCAGTCCTATAAGAATGCTTTTAGTGAGTTGTGAGTGTGTTCATTAAAAGAAATGAATGAGTCATATGGCCACCATTATTGATCATTTCTGCCCTGTGGCTTTAGACTGGAAATGCTTTTCTAGGGTCCCAAAAGGGATTTCCAATTTTTTTTTTTTTCTAATTTCATCTACAGCACTGTGGACTCAACTCATTCTAGCCACATATGATCTGTTCCATCAGGCCACTGGGAGTAATTGTAATGAATAAAGGAACTGCATTTAAAAGACTTTTTTTTTTTAAAGACTTTTTTAATCCTTCTGTATCATTTAAAATTTATCCACATTGTTAGAAAACTCAGTTGTAGTCCCACTTCTGACTTTGGCTTAAAGTATCAATCTAAAAAAAAAAAAAAAATCTAAATGGTCCAAGAAATCTAAAAATAAGGTTGAGAAGTGAAATCTCTCAGTCATTCCCCTAGCTTATCAACATAACATTTACTACTTGGACTTGTTAAAGAAATATTACAATTACATGCTTTTTCAGTATTTCATAAAATTGTTAATATATAATGATATAAATGAAATGAATTTTCTTTTATGTAAGTTCTTTTTGTAAGGAGAAATATTTAAACATAATCAGTGGTCATATTTGTCTATTTTAAATGCTTGATTAATATAAAAATATCTCAATCTACGTGTTAATATATACTCCTTTTTATGACAAAATGTCCATGGACTCCCATTTTTATTTCCTCAATCTTACAGTCAACAAACATTTGTTGATACAGCTGTTTTGTGTTAAATGCAGTACCAGGGACTGGCTATGTGAGGGTGTGTAAGACGGAACTCCCCATTTTCAAGGAATTGACAATTAAACTGGTGCATGCAGAGGAAAGACAATTAAACTGGTACCTGTGGAAAAATGTGAAAAGTGCTATCACTGAGATGAATATTTAGGAGAATACGTAAGTCAGAGTAAAGGTTTCATATCCTTTTTCCAGTATATTTAAAATCCTGACAAAAATCTCAGAAATTTCCTATGAAAAATGGCTAACATGGACATGTGGCTTCTATGAACTGTTCAATATCCTCATGGTATCTGAAGGGCTAGAAGGAATCTACAATAACTATTAGTATCTTTTTACATAAATTCATTAACTATCTCTCCACTCTGATATTCCTATGAAATCTTTAAAACCTACCACATTTTATTTGCAGAGTATTTTCCTGAGACAAAATTCTTGTTTTCCCCCCTCTATTTCTTTCCCAATTTTCTCCTAAATAAGTAAGTCTAGAAGCAGTTCTTTTATTTTGCTGATAAATATGATTTATCTGCTTTTGAAAGAAAAAAAGAAACACTGAAAAACCTGTGGTGCATTTTCTGCTTCAGTAAATGGGTCACACTTTGTCAAATTCTGAATATATTAAGCTTTTGTGAAGTTCTGTTTTTCTCAAATACTAGGTTGCTACACTAGATATCAAAGGGTAATTTATTTTGTTCTAAGTAAGCTTTTTACTCAGTTCCTTTTTTTTTTTGCCTCAAATCATGAATACTTCAAAAAAGATAACTCAGATAAATTAGAAAGTTTAAAGAAGGAGAATATTGGCTTTCATTTATATTTGTGAAACTGCATGCTGCCCTTCATATATGGAGATGATTAGTTCAAACTGAAATCTGTAAGATACCTGCTTTGTTAATTTTTTAGTGGCAGTGATGAATTTGACGCAATCAATCCCGAAGGACAATGGCCCTGTCAGAAAGTAACTTCTACCAATGGGGAGATCAAAATTTGCCGTCCTCATAGGGCCTGACCCTAAAGCACAAGCACCAACAAATATAGCTACGTATAAACAGAGGTAGAAGGTATAGGTAATCAAGAACATGCCATTCACAATCATTTGCCTGAATGTTTTCAATTGGGTCTGAACATTTACTTTTTGTATCCAAACTGTTTTCAATTGTTTATGCTATAACCTTCTTAGGAGGAACTAATATCATTCCATCAAACTTTCCAACTAAAATGATAAAATGCAATATGTACACATTCTAATTTGAGAAATATTTTGTTCTAATAAAGCACCTAGCACAATGTCTGGAACATCACAAGCGCTCATTAAGTATTTCCTTCCTCTATTTCTCCATGATATTTATCATGATAAATTATTTTGAGTTGGCTTCCTTCTCATACTAGGACCATTCTAAGTACCACACGACACATTTTTTTTTCCCTAAAGATCATTTGGTATTAAAATAATAGTTACCAATTAGTAGGTATATTAAACTTCATTTTAAGTCACAAATTCCTGTTGGCCACACTCACGTTACTTGGTGCAAGTCTTTTCACAAATTTAGTTGTTCCCGTTTTCTTTCAGAACATTTTCATCATGCTGAAAAAACAACAGGAGCCCTGTGAAAGAAATAAATGGGCATGTAAGTGGACACTGATACCTGCATCTGGGAACCAACTTTGACCTTCTCCATTTCATCTATTTCCATGTCTCTTTCAAATCCTGTATTTACATCTTCAGAGAGTTTCACAGTCTTCGAACCAGTTATCAGTTGAGTGGTCTTGTTGATTGATTTATGGCTTTCTTCTCTCCTCCAGTTTCAATCAAATGCCCATTCTTGAGGGAAAAACATTTGAAATAAACTCAGAATGCAGACTCACGTGCTGACAAATTGTGTTTTCCCCACAACCACCATCTGAGATTCAGGTCTCCGCTGCTTCACATGTAAGTGGTTGACATCGCTTCCCTCCCTGCCTCCAATCCCCTTTCACCTAATTGTCCTACTGACTGAAAGCTTGAGAAGCATTTCTGCCATATTATTCTCCTCGCTTAAAAACTTAAATAATCTCCCATTTCTATCAAATCCAATTCCCTAGTTTGCATTTAAGGTCCAATACTAACTCATCTTTGAATGCTACTGATATATTTATTGTCACAACTCAACAGATAGCCCTGTACACAAAGTCATGAGCACATATATTTGATGGTTAAATTTAGCTCAGCTACTACTGTTCTGAAGTATTTTCTGACCCTTCCCCTTTGTCCCTGGTGTGGGTTAGGTATACCTCTCCTCTCAGAGTACCTCCAGCAAATCCATCAGAAAATGGAACATACTGTATGGTCATTTTTTGCTTATGTGTCTCTATCCCCCATTAGGATGTAAGTTCCCAATGGGCAGAAACATGTCCTATTCATCTTTATAGCTCTAATACCTACCAAAGTATTGATGCCTAGGAAATGCTGAAATATGGTTATTGAAAGAATGACATTTCCTAAGTTAGGGACTGTATTTCTTATTCCAAAAACTTACTGATGTGTCTCTTCTAAGTAAAATGCTGCCTTTCTCTCTTTCTCTTTCTCTTTCTTCTACCTCCTAAACTTGGATCAAATTGAACTTCTTTGGAAATAGTCAGATGTTCATCAAAGAAAGGGAGAGATACGACTTCAGCTCCCAACTTAAAATAATTTGGTTCTAAAGCAATACTGCCTCTCACTAAGGAGTCTAAAAAGCCACCCAACCAAAAGAGACAAATAGGTAGTATATGCAGAATCCTGACATAAGCCTCCAACACTCAGCTCAGCCCTAGATATATGCACTGAACTCCAAGATGGCATTCTTTGGGATAGTTTATATCCCCCATACATAGAGTCCAGCTCTTCCCTTTTATTTATTTATTTATTTATTTATTTATTTATTTATTTATTTATCTATTTATTTATTTATTTATAATTTATTTTTAAGATTTTATTTATTTATTTGTCAGAGAGAGAGAGTGAGAGCAGGGATGGGGAGAGGCAGTGGGAGAGGGAGAAGCAGGTTCCCCGCTGAGCAGGGAGCCCAATGTGGGGCTCGATCTCAGGACCTTGAGATCATGGCCCGAGCTGAATGCAGACGCTTAACCGACTGAGCCACCCAATGCCTCTAGCTCTTCCCTTTTAGTGATATGATGAAATACATTCCCTGCTCATCACTGTTGTCATTGTCTCCTGGCCACTCTCTTCTCTTGCCCGAAGTCCAAGGACCCCTAAAACAGAAAACCCGCTCCATTGGTACCTATTCTGCACCTCTTCATTGCAGGCATCTGTTCAGAATTTGCTCTGCAAGTAGACGCAGTATTACTGCCATAATACAACCCTTTATTGTATGTGAGAAATTTCCCAAGAAAGCTTTTCTCAATCATGTACCTCTGCTTTGGTTCTAGGTACTTTCCTCAAAAGACAATCCTATTCACTGCAGAAGACACCGGAGCCTTCCATAGTTGAAGCTGGGGGCCTTTTCCAGGAAGCAGTCTTTCACCTATGTTTCTACTCTACCTTTCACTCTTGAAATCAACTTTGGTACAAGCATGATCTTCGGCTATCAGACCCTATCGTACATCTGTAAAATTTGAAAATAAAGAGGTGTCCAAAATATGAACATATCTATGTTTCTTTCTACTAGTCTGATTTCTTAGCAGCTCAGTATCATGTTTAACAACAAATTCAAAAGGCAGGAGTAAGAATGTAAAAATAACTGAAATTTTCAGTCACTATCTCATTTTACAGACCTGTCACGAGCGCGCTATGAAGGCACACACAAGTTGTGTCTTTCCACAATGTCAGCTTCATTCAGTCATAAAGCAAGGTTAACGTAATTACAAAGCAGGTTCAGGATTCCAAGCTCAATGACATTTCACCACATGATTAACTTGGGCTTTTTACCCAGCACACAGAGCAGAACACAGGACAAGCCACACAACAAACAAGATACGCAGGGGGTAGGAGGTTAACAAACCAAACACTGCTCTGTGGGCGTGCAGTTGAAATAAGGCCTCTGTCCAGTCCGGGTCAGCTCTCGGCACTTACTGCTTATTACGTTCCAGCAGTAAAGGCTCTCGGTTCCGTTCAGAGATCAATCGTGCAGAACCTTCTGCGGCAGCTGCCTTTCTTAAGTGGTCAGACATAGAGGGGTCAGTGTCTGAAGAGTCTGACAGTTTGCTACAAAAATCCTCCCCTTTTAAAGGGATATAATCAGTCTTGGGCCCCTGCAGACCTCCTCTGCTTCTGCTTGCTATTAGTTCTGAGGTGTCCTCAGCTGGTGCTGGTCTCGGGGATATTTCGTAGCTGCAGTATCCTAAACTACCTGCATTATTGCCTCACATCAGGCCCCTGCTTGACCTGAGTGACTCCATCTTGCTCTCTAAAAGACCATTATATCAGTACATAATTCTGCCATCCCTTTGAGTTAATAGGAGTTAATTTTCAAATTCCCTACTGAGTGTTTTCAAATGTGTATTGACCCATGAACGTGTAAATGGTTGGAAGAACTATTTGAGAGAAACCATTAACTCAGGTGTAGGAATATGAAATCACTACGAGATTACATTTGACAAAGCAAGATCTGTAAAAATGTGTTTCTACTGACAGTAAGTAAAAATAATGTGGAATCTTATAAGGAAATTTGAAATTTATCTAACAAATTTAGGTCTAATACATCTAACATCTAATATTTTTCAGAGAAGTAAGTTTTCAGTATTCCCTTTATCTTTATTTCCAAACACATTCATCTTTATTCACAGATCAGATGTGCTGTACTTTAAAATTCAGCTTTATAACACCCTACTTTTTCAGTATTATTATTGATCAGTCCATTTCAGAACATATAAACCTCTTTAAAACAAATGTAGACCTAATGCCGCAGAACCCATTTGCCCAAAAGTAAAATTAGTAAACTCCCTGCAGTCAACTTCAGGTTTGATTTTTTTCTAAAAAAATTGTGTTTTGCTCACAAAAAGGCCATTTCTTCCCAAGGCATGTCTCTACTGAATGAATGCTGAATTGTGCACCCTTCTTGATTAGTGAGAATGGAATCTTGCTTTTCTTCTCTTTGCCACAAAATAACAAAGACCGCCAATATTTATTTATTTATTTATTTATTTATTTATTTATTTATTTATTTATTTATTTATAAAGATTTTATTTATTTATTCGACAGAGAGAGAGACGGCAAGAGAGGGAACACAAGCAGGGGGAGAGGGAGCGGGAGAAGCAGGCTTCCCGCTGAGGAGGGAGCCCGATGTGGGGCTCGATCCCAGGACCCTGGAATCATGACCTGAGCGAAAGGCAGATGCTTAACCGACTGAGCCACTCAGGTGCCCCAGTACTGCCAATATTTAGTCCTCAATTATATATGGGCATCCAGGTGATGTAAGAAGATATGCCAAAGTAAGGATGGCAAAACTGCCTAAAAAGATTGTATTATTTAAATAAAGTTTGGGGCATGGTTTCTTCCCCGTTTGGAAACAGTGAGGTCTGCCCTATTATGTTTGTAAGTGTATTTTTTGCTTCCTTCCATGGTGGAAAATGTGAGCCTTTGCTGACTTTGAAGATTCAGGTGAGAAAAGTTCAGATTAGAACAAATAAGTGAAAAAAATCACACATGCCCTACTGAAGGACAACAAACAAATTCTCTGTAATTCTGGCTACAAGGAGGATAGTATGGACAAGACTACCTCTAAAATTTCAGACATTAAAATACTGGGTTGATTAGAACAGCTGCACAATTAGTAGCCAAGGTATTTTCCCCATCTTCATTGTTTTTATAGATCAGGCTTGACTGCTTGCACTAATTAGACAGAATAAAAGAAAAATCTATAGAAAAAGTGGAAATCTGGTGCACCTTTTACATGTGTTAGTCGAGATCACAAAAAAATTGTATTACATTTGCCTGTTTTCAAAAGACCGTGGTATGGATTTTAAAAGAACCTGGAATAATATAAAATCCCAGGTGGTCAAGACTAAGAGCCAAATGAGAACTGCATACAATACACACAATGTGCCTACAAGGTGTGCTAAGAGAATTTGGAGGTGAGAGCCGTCCCTGAGGAATGGAGTCCATGAAGGCCCCTGGAGGTGGCACTCAAACAAGTGGCGAAGGAAAAGGAGCATTTCAGACAGGCAGCTTGTGCAGTAGAAGGGAGATGGACCCATATTGTTTGGGAGCAAACAACTGGGTTGGAATAAGGGATTCATTTATGGAAGTAAGAAAAACAGAACTGAAGAGATGTAGAGGGATCAACTTGTGGGGTTCCTTGGAGAAATGGAGTTTGAACAGCAGGGAGATATTTATTCAACAAATAAATGAGTGCCTGCCATGTGAGAGATTGTTGCAGTGGGCACTAAACATATTATCTCTGAAAAAGGTGTTTGAGGTTGAGGACAGGGGAAGGGAGATAATTTGATCAATACAGAAGAGAATGCAATGAGGATAGGCAGCTTAAGCTGTAGTGAATTAGCCCAAGCCAAAAGGAAGACACGTGCACCAGCAGAACATGAACTGAAGGGGATGCCTGTGAAATATGTTACAAAGGAAGAAGAAACTGGACTGAATGGTGCAAAATGTGGGAAGAAAAACAAAGTTCAGCAGATAAATTGGTTGGCCATTAAAGAAGCTTACGCTTTAGGATTTACAGAATGTGCAATGCAATTCTGAGGCTAACAATACAAATTCAGTCAAACTTCACAGGTTTAGGGCACAGTCCCCCACAAGACCACTCTCCCTTCAGCCGCAAGCTCTAGGGTTCCCAGGCCACCCATCCTTGGGGCCAAATGGCTACAAATTTGGAGCTGCTCCCTATTCCTTCAGGTTTGATAATCCACTCAAATGACTCACGGGATTCAGGAAAGCACTAAAGTTTTATTGTGAAGGATAAAAATCAGAACGAGCTAAATGAAGAAACATGCAGGAAGATGTGGGAGCTTCCCAATCGTGAAGTTTCTGTGTCCTCAAGATGTATCACCCTCTCAGGATACTGATGAATGTCAGCAGCTCAAGAGGCTGAACTGAACATCATTGTACATGATTTTTTATTGGAGTTTCATTACATAGGCATGACTGACTGAATCGATGGCTATAAAACTGAACTTAATCTCTAACCTCCTTCCCCTCCCCAGAGGTCAGGCTGATATCACAGGACTCAAAGCCCTAAACCTCTACTTACATGATTGGTCTTTCCTTTCCAGCCCCCATTCTGGCTCATTGGGTTAGCTATCTCAAGGTACTCCAGGAGTTATCTTATTAGCATAAACTCAGGTGGGGCTCAGAAGGCCCACCATAAGTAACAAAGACACTCCTACCACCTGGGAAATCCAAGGATTTAAAGGATTCCTCTGAAGAACCAGGGACAAAGTCCAGCCACATTCTTTATTCCAGAAGTAACTCTAGGCTCTCTTAGGTGGAACTCCAGCAGACAGCTGAAGTTCCAAAACAAACTAGAGAGAGAAAACTAGCTATGTAACTCTGGCCACAAAGAGAAAGTCACATGGTATAGTTCAGTGTTCAGAGCTGCTTAGCAATGTCTACAGTCCTTGTCAAGAGGATATGCATGGGAAAAGCAACCCAAACATACACAGCATATTTTTCTAAGGAAATCAACCCTGAGCCTGATACTAACATTAGCATGAACAGAAACAGTTCTTGCATCTTCTTTCTTAACCAGATGTCTAAAATATATATCTTTTATATGCTAATAAAACAAGTCCCTAAAGAAAATGTGATCTAAAAAATATACAAATCCAAAATTGATATAGCAGTGACTTAAAATACTTCATTCTTGTTAGACAAATGCAAAAGTGATGAGGTCAGCATTATTAATGCTCTCTTTATTTTGTGCATTGCATACCAGCATAAACTTAGCTATAATTACTCTATTTTGACATATTCTCAGTTCAATTCCTTGCCACAGATTACTGCAGTTATCAGCTAAGAAGTAGTAGATCAACCAACCTACTCCCTATACCTGCAATAATACCTACAAGTATTTGCCTTTGAGGATGATTGTATTCAAATGAAAAACATTATCTTTTCTCTCTTATTCAGTGGCAGTGGCACAAATGAAACTATGTAAAAGATTTTTTTCTATTTCAACTATTTATTATTCAACTTTTGAATGATCAGAAATGGATTCCAGAAAGAATATGCCTTACTTAAAAGTAAGATATCTATAAGCAGAAAAGGGTTATATTTTAAAATACACTATATTTGGATATTGCTTCTTTATACTTCTATAATAGATTATGGACTTGGCAAATAATATAAATGACTATTTGTTATTTCAAATTAATAAATACAGTATAATATATTTTTTATATAATCAAACCTTATATGCATGCAAAATATTCTTAGCTCCATGGTTAGCAGGTATCAGAAAATGGCTTAAGACATAAGCAATTTCTAGAACATATTAAAAACATATACTGACTAATAAGGACTTAAAAAAATTTTCTTGAGCGCTTAGTTTGAATCACAACTTCCATAGGCAGCATTATCTAATGTCTCAGTTTTATTCCTGTGAGAAGTAGATGTTAAGAATTAGATGTGCAAGTGATTTGCTGGGAGAAATGCCTGCAGAGGAT